TCTTAACCTTCGGCTCCTCTCTCCAATACGGTTATAACCTCTGGGTGGTGAATCATCCCTTTGCGGTAAGTGGGGCCCTGTGGGGTCCAAGCACCCCCCCTTTCCTGGGAGAGGCCGTTCTCGACGGATCCCCGGGGCCCTGACGGGCTGACCCCTCTGCGCTGCGGCTGAACGTGCAATTTTCCGTCTAGCTGATCCAAGACTTCTTCAACGCCACTTCCAGGGCCAAGAGGAGGGAGAACATCCAGGCCAACTTCCTGAATTTTCTGTTCACCTTGACTGCAACCATCTATTCTCTGGGCGGCCTCATCGGGTCTCTCATGGTTTGCCCGATGGCCGATACCTGTGGCAGGTAATACGGGATCACCGGTAAAGCAAGCCTGCTCCATCCGACTGTGACCTAGCTGTGAATGCGCCCTTGACGACCCGCCCCGTTGCTTTATATTTCTGGAGTTCTCCGCACCTGGGAAGGAGAACGGAGGCTTGCAAAACTTTGCCGAAGAGGAGGAGAGGGGCATTTCCTTCGTGTTTGCTAAACGCACGGCGACCCTACGTCCGTTGCCTTTATTTCAGAAAGCGGTCTTTTAGATTTATTCCACGCCGTTGTTCGTTTTCCTGGCTTTGCTCCCGAACGGTCCTTTGCGAAGCAAAGTTATCAGCCTAAACCCTGGATCCGTACGAACCTCTTTCGGTTTGCCCCTTTTTCGGGTTCTTTATTTCTTCCAGGAAAATAGAAAGCACCGTGCGGGTAGCCGGTTCCCCCGGAAATAAGCCACAGTTAGGAAGAAGATCAAAGGCGTTCGAGAGGATAAAATGGACTTTGTGGAAACCGGGATCCCAGTTCTTGACCTTGCTGGTCTTCTTCTGCAGTGCTTCAGAATGGCATCTGCAGGCGGGAAGCCTTTAATGCTGGTTTGAGTTCGCTGCCCCCCGCTTAAGATCGACTGAGTCTCTTGTCCTTCTAGGAAAGGTGCCTTGATGATAACCAACCTTCTAGCTGTCATCTCTGCCATCCTGATGGGCTTTTCGACCATAGTCCAGGCCTACGAATACACCGTCTTCTCCCGGCTGATCAGTGGGGTGTGCTCAGGTGAGAGTTCCCGAGACCGAGTTGCTGGATTTGGGAAGCCGCACACAGGCGGTGGCTGGGATCGGCCTCCCCGTGAACGTTGGCTGAAAAAATGCACACCTTGTTCCCTTCTTCGGTGGGAAAGATAAGGGGCTCTTTGCATGCCCCCATGCACTCTTTCCTTGCACCCCGAGGTCCACTTCCCCTAGCCATGGTGGCTACGTCTCTCCAAAATTGGGCGTCTTTTTCCGATCCGGCGATGTTAGGGACGGAAGGCAGGACTTTTGTATTGGAAGTTCCCCAGGGCCCAGCTGACCCACGGAGACCCACAATCTCTTTGAGCCAGGTTTATTAAACTGCGCTGGGGACAGACCTCAAGGAGGGTACAACAACCTTTATTGGGTTGTACCATGACTGCAATACTAGGCAATAATATAACGCCCTTAACCAATAAATGTGGTCTGTAGGGGTCGCTTAGCAGTCAGAAAAGGCTTGACGTCACATAATCCATCCCATTAAATGCTGATTATTACCCTAAAAATACGAGTATTGTTGCGAGAGCACACGAGCGAACGCCGGCAACTTTCTGTAAGCATCTAGGCAGGCTATGGGTTTGGGTTCAGGGGTTCGCTCTGGGGTCCCTCCTTCGCTTTCTGGCTGCCCAGCTGGGCCCGTGTCCTCGAACCCAGAACCTCGCAGACCCGCGTGAGAAATGGCCGATTCTCGGTTGCACGACGGCCGTTGATTGCGTCTCCGTTTCCCCCCTTGTCCAGGCATCTTCTCCTGTGCCGTACCAATGTACCTGGCTGAAATTGCTCCCCGAAATTTGAGAGGGGCCACCATGACGATGGCTATGATAGCCGTCGCTGTCGGAGTCCTGGTCTCCCAGATCCTTAGTCTTCGGGAGATCCTAGGCTCCAAAAGAGGTAAGTTGGCGTGGGATCTTGGGCGTCTAGAGGATCTGGACCTCCTGGTGACTTGGCCTCCTCTTCGCGCAGGTTGGCCCATCTTGCTGAGCTTCACGGGGATCCTCGCGGCGTTCCAGCTCCTTGTGTTGCCCAGGTTCCCCGAAAGTCCTCGATTTCTGTTGATTCAGAAGAAGAACGAGGAGAAGGCAAGGCAAGGTAGAACGAGCCCAGCCATCATGGGGGAGCAGGCAAAGTGGGGTCTTCGGTGATTGATCTGCCCTTGAAAAATGTTGGGGGGACGGACTCCGTGAAAGCACGCCACGGTGCATTCCCACACACTATGATTGAAGACCACCTTTCTTACGGATGGGATATCTTTTTTATTCCACTCCGTGGCCTCCAGGAAGGGTTCCACCAAGAAATTTCAAAACCCATCCTGAAAAATCTGGATTCAGATCTCCTGCCTTTAGAAGATGGCTTTTCAAGAGCAAATCCTGGTTTGGCATCTTCTTCAAAGGGGGGCTCCACCCATTTGTGGCTTACGTTCAGTCGCGGCTGACCGGCAAACTCTGGTTGCGTAAAACACGGCTTACTTTGATGGGCAGACCAGGTCAATGGCTGGGATTAATGATGTTACTCTTCTTGTAGAGTATTTTATTTATTCTAATATGCATTTCATTTATTTATTTGTTTTCCACATCACGTTCTGGGTTTGGGTTGTAATCTTCTGCGCACCACCCAGAGTCACTCTTGTGAGGTGGGTGGCTATATAAATTGTTTAAATAAATGATTTATTATTGTTATTATTTTTAAAAGGCCATCCCCATTCCTCCCCGTGAGTCTGCATTACGTTTTGCTTCACGCTCTTAGTTTTAGAAGGCTTTGCGCACACTAGTTTTGTGGATCTAAAAGTCGTATTCATTTATGTTGCGAAAAGCAGCGATAGTCCTGAATCACGAGACTGGGCGTACAGGAATGGGACGATGGGTGTTGTAGTCCCACCGGCCTTGTAGATACCTGTCCCGTAAAAACCAAATCTTAAATCGGGGTTGCAAATCCGGTCCGAAAATTGTACCCCCAGCCCCAACGTTGCCTGTGTTAATCTGGATTAGGCAGGTGTTTCTGGCGTGTCCTTGGTCCAACTGAGTCCGCAACCCAGATTCAACTCACATTTATTATATTCACTTCTAATTCCAATTCACCATAGCAACGTCTAAATGGGTTCCACCACGGATTTCAGAAACAATTTGGGTTCCTGCGTCAGGTCACCGTTCGACGGTGCAGACTGGATTTGACCCTTTCATGCAGGTCTGCTAAAGTGGCTTTTTCGGGGGGTCCCCTTCCCCCTTCCCCCCTGCCCCCCACTCTTGAGGATCCTGCGAGACAGGGAAGACGTGGAGGAGGAAATAGACGAGCTCCACCAGGAAGATATATCCGAACTGGGGGAAAAGGAGATGAATGGGCTGAAGCTGCTCACCTATGAAGGTCTACGGTGGCAGATGATCTCCGTCATCATCCTGATGGGCGGTCAGCAGTTCACAGGGGTCAACGCTGTAAGGCCGAGGCTGGGGCTTGCTTGGGGGGAGAGGGGGGACTTCTGGCCCTGCCAAAGGGCCACGCGGAGCCCCCTTGGCGTGCTCCAGGGTTGCCCAGTGTGTCCTGCTGCAAACCATCTCCTCAAGGGATTTGGGGACGGCTGGGTCCCCAGTTCCCAGCCCACCTTGCCTTTGGTGGCTCGCGATTCTGGGCGTGGGAGCTCCCGCACATCTGGAGGACTTCAGCGTCGGCAACCTGGGATGCCGAAGATGATGGGAATCTGGTCTCTGATGGAGGGTTTCTGACTCCCCCAAATTAGGGGTGCCCCGTAGCATCGGCAGAACAATGGAATTGGTGGCGGGGGTCTTCTGCTTTCAGGTGTATTATTACGCGGAGAAGATTTACAAAAAAACGTGGCTGAACAAGAACGAAGCTCGGTATATCAGCATCCTGTCTTCTGTGTTTGTCATCTTCACCTTATTAGTTGTGGTACGTTTCTCAGCACGAGTTTCTCACCCGTCTTTCCCCAAACGGGGCTTCTCTGCCAGTTGGATTCGAACCCAAGTCCAGAGACAAACCGTGACTTAGCCCCTTTGCAGCCTGATTGCTGTGGTTCCCAAACCTTGATTCAGGCTGACACCCGCCTGACGGTCTCTCTGTTTGAGAATGGCGGCCGCTCCCAGCGAATTATGGCAGGGTGGGTCAAAAACCCTCTGAATAAAATGGGGGGTT